GCCCTGCCCTCTCTCCCTGCTCCAGTGGCCCTGCCCTCTCTCCCTGCCAGCTGATACAACAGTATGCGGTGACTCTGGCTCCTGATATGACGGAAGTGAAGTCTTTGGCCCGCATTGTCCTGGTTCCCAACAGGAAGGTGAACCTGCGCTTTCTAAGGAGACAATCCTGAGCTGGGCTCCTGCCTCCATGGGGCTTGACCAGAAGCCCTGGCGCAGCAGTCCCTGGCCTGTCTCATGTCACATGTGAGGATGCCTGATTGACAGGGGAGCTCCGTGCCCTTCCCATTGACCCCAAATGTCTGGCACGATCTCTACTGAGCAGCACGTGCTCGAGACAGTAAAGCACCTCATACCGCACAGCAATCCTTGGGTGCAATTTGAAATAAAATGTAGTTCAAATTTGGGGGGGGCTCGCTGTTGTTCTTTTTGATCACTCAGCATCTCACCCTCTTTTTGTGTGTGGGGGGGTGCACCTTAGAATCATGGTGGGCACCCTGCTTCCATAGACCTCAGTGGCAGACCTGTCACGGACACCCCGTGACGGTGCCACTTTAGCTGTAGACAGTAAAAGCTACCACCGGAGGGCACGATGAATGCCTATAGCCCCAGCTGCCCTGGAGGCTGAGGCAGGAGAGTCAGTTGAGCCCAGGAGCTTAACACCTGAGCAACAGAGTGGAGTGTCTGTGTAATGTGATTGGGGATCGGGGTTTGGAGGTCAGTGTTCATAGTCTGTACTTGAGGTACTAAAGGCAAGGTCAACTGATGGGCAACAGTATGAAGATTCCCCCACGCACCCAAGAAAAATTAAAAATGGGACTATCCAGCTGGGTGGTGGTGGCACATGACTTTAATCCCACCACTTGGGAGGCAGAGGCAGGCGGATCTCTATGAGTTCGACGTCATTTTTATCTACACGGTGAGTTCTGGGCCAGCCAGGGATATAGAGTGAAACCCTTTCTCAAAAGAAATTCCAAAAGAAGGAGGAGGAGGTATGGCGGAGGAGGAGGAGGAAAGAAAAGTAAGCGAGCTGGGGAGATAGCTCAGTGGCTCAGTGGGTAAAACACTTGGCACACACCTTTGAAGACCAAGAACTTACGTAAAGCTTGACAAGGCAGGAATAGTGGAGTCCGGAATCAGGAATCCTAGCACTGCAGTCCCAGGCGATGGGAGGTAGAAACAGGAGAGCCCCAGAAGCATGACAGAGAAGCCCTGTCTCAAACAACCTCATGCCTGAGGGTTGTCCACTGCTCTGCACAGTGGGACACTCACCCTCATGCACACACAGTCGCACGCCACTGCGGGACACAGGCCCGCATGCACACATAATAAAATAAGTAAAGGAGAAAGAATCTTAAAAGATTGTAGAAATACGAATCCACTCTTTCTGTGTTGGACTACGGGGTCTGAGGGCCCAGGCCATCACAGGGGAGGGTAATAGCAGACGATGAGGCCCAGAATTGACTGAGATTAATTTCTTTCTACCTGGTGAACTGAGATCATTGTAGAAATGACATCCAGTATTACAGGATCAGTTATGTTTCCTGCAGATTCCCGTTTGTAGACTGGGTTCCACGTACTATGTGAATAATGAATAAATGTTTTCCTTATCATTTTGTTATAAATAAAAGATTAAAAGATATCAGAAGAATGGCATTCAGTTCACTAAAGAAAGGCCACTTGCAGCTTTTGCCAACTGCAGACTTTCTTTCAAGTCTTTGAACTCAGGAGACGCAAGGAGTTTGCATAAATTCATTTCAATGGCTGCAGTGTTTGAGTAAACCTGTGGCATCCAAGGCTGTGGCTTGCTCTTTTGTTTCTTTTTTCTTGATTGCTCATCCTCAAGGATCTGAATCTATCGGGGGTTAGGGGACACTAAGGGGTGCAGACATTGCTCAGTGGGGAGAGCTGAGGAGCTCACAGTACAACCGTGCCAGGGGCACTGACAATGCCACATGCTTCTGTAGACCCCGATGGTAGACACGTTATGGGCACCCAGAAAGGGCACCGTGACAGTCCCACTGCAGCTGTACCTGCTGGGTACCATGACGAATGCCTACAGCCCCGGCAAGCAACTCTAGAATCAAGGGCTACTCAGCGTTGGCTGCCAGCAGCTTGGAAGTGCCAGGAGAGTAGCATGGTGGTGGCACAGTGGTGGCTTCCGTGGGGGAAAGAACAACCACGGCTCCTAGGAGCGAGGACGTGTATCCAGAACCAAGCATTCCGGGCTCCCAGCTAAATTCATAGGTAGCATGCTCACTGCCACATTGAGCTCAGCCCTGATCCAAATGGCAGGAAAGGCATAAGAAGGGACCGGGTGCACAGATTGTCCTAGGTTGATGGCAGTGCCTCTGGTTCAGGACTTTCAGGCTTGACTCAATTGTTCTCAATTTCATCATCCTGGTGTACTGGGCATGCTCAAAGGCTTCTGGGCGTGTAGATATAGCAAGGACAATTAGGGAAGGCTGGAGAGCCTGTGAGAAAAAGAGGAGATGGTGACCAAATCGGGAAGAGGAGGTGCCCTCCCAACAGGATCTCACCCTACTGCCAACTGGGTGGAATTTCTGCCCCGTCCTTTGAAAATGCCCCCGCCCCCAGCCAAACATGGTGCCGGGACAGTCTGCAATCTGACAAATTCACTGAGATGAACAACAGTTGGAAACTTCCTCCCATGTTAGTCCCTGCCGATGATAGAACTGCATTCAACAAAAGTTTGTTAGCTTGCTTTATTCTCAAGAGATTCTCAGCAGGAACAGACTAGGGAGCAGGCAGCTATGCCTTCCCCCACCTCCATCCATCCCTTCCAGCAGGACCTCAGCTGGAAATGGGACAAAGTAGTGGTCTGTAAAGCCTTTGTTGACAGTTTCTGTGGGGGCTGCTCGATCGTGACTGGCACCTCTGCCATCCTTAAGGTACCTAACTTGATATCTAGGAGTTCTGAAAGACTGAGGGACTAGCTCTAAAGCTCATGGCAGAGCCTACCTGTACCAGAGCAGAACCAGCAAGTGGGTGGGAGAAGATGAAGGCCAAGTTCCCCTAGATCCTTTCATTGACTTTCGGGTGAGGAAGATGGCTTGGGAGTGAGGGCTCAGGTACTCTCAGGCACTGAGGGCATCGATGCCAGCGGGGCTGAGCACCAGCGCTTGAAGTATGTCAGAGAGGGAGACCACGCCCAGAAGATGCTGGGTCTCATCCACCAACACCAGCCTGTGCACCTGCGGGTCCACAGTATTCAGGGAGGGGCAGAGCCCTTGGCTACAGCAGCTAAGAAGGGGAAAGCTTAACACAGCTCAAGGAGCAAAGAACATCTCCTGGGAACAGCTGGCCATGGCTTTGACCACTCAGCTGGCTGTGGATCTTGGCATCAGGGCCCTATGAACAGGACCAGACACCTACCAATGCAGATGCCAAAAGTTGGTCATGAAAGGGAAGGCAGGCCAAGTGCCCAGGATACAGGGATGGTGAGAGCTATGCAAAGAAGAGCTAGGCCATCTGTGCGGAGGGCGTGCCAGGAGGGGTGCAAGGTACCTGTTCCCGTGCGATCCTGTCAATGACTTCACCCAGGCTCTCGTGGGGCTGGCAGGAGAGAACCCCTTCCAGGCACAGCGTCCTCTGCCTCAAAGCTTCTCCTACGCTCATGTCCAGGTGGTTGTAGGTTTGCTGGGCAGCCAGGTGCTGGGGCAGGAGGAGAGTAATAAATGATCTCATTAGCTAGGCTGCGGCCCGGGGGATACTTCCCACTGACGCTCACACTACAGCCTCCCTGTAGCACCCCCAGGCCCCTCAGACACTTACGATGACATCGAAGCGGGAGTAGAGGCCCACGACCTGACCTGCAGCGGGGGATGGGGCAGAAAGACAGGGAAAAACACAGCTCAGATTTCGGGTGCTCTTCAGGGGGCATGGGGACGACTTTTGAAATTAGTCCCTTGATAGTCCCCCAGGCTGCTGGCTTAGTCGCGAGGCATCGTACTGCCCCTAAGTACAGATAGACTTTACACCGCTGAGACATCTGATATTAGGCTCCTGTGAGCTGCAGGAAGAACAAAGCATCGCCTGTGAAATATGCCAGCCTCATAGTGTACAGGTACTAGTCATTTAGGTTCAGCTTCTGGTTCACAGGAAAAAGGTACAGGAGCACAGCCACCTCCAGGAGCCAAGGGGACAAATCTGGTCACGGGATTTTTTTTTTAACCTTTTTTTTAAAAAAACCCTTTTAAACTACATTTGTGTGTGTGTGTGTGTGTGTGTGTGTGTACACGCATGTGTGTGTGCGTGTGTGTTTGTGTATACATTGGAGTGCCACATCACACATGTGTGGAGGTCAGAGGACAGTCTTTAGGTGTCCGTTCTCTCCTGCTAAGGGTGGGTCCTGGGGATTGAACTCAGGTCGCCAGGCTTGGCTGCAAGTGTCTTTACCTGTGGAACCATTTCTATAACCTTGGCATTTGTGCCATGAAAATGTGCGGAAAGGGAACAGTATTAGATTTGAACAAACTCCAGGGGCAGTGAAGAAACAGGAAATGTCAACTTCAGCTGGACTTGGCTTGAACAAGTTAATTAGTTTTTCTTTTTTTCTTTTTAAGTCATTCTTGGGAGAAATGGGAAAATGAGAATAAGTATTGGAAATTGGGTCACAATAAATTATTCATCTTTTAAAAATAACTTTCATCAAGCCGGGTGGAGGTGGCATACGCCTTTAATCCCAGCACTGGGGAGGCAGAGGCGGGCAGATCTCTGGGAGTTCGAGGCCAGCCTGGTGTACGAGAGCTAGTTCCAGGACAGGCTCCAAAGCTACAGAGAAACGCTGTCTCGAAAAGCCAAAATATATAAAACAAAAGCAAAAAACCTTTTGTCTTTAAAAAAAAAAATACTTTAAGGGGGCTAGAGAGATGGCTCAGAGGTTAAGAGCATTGCCTGCTCTTCCAAAGGTCCTGAGTTCAATTCCCAGCAACCACATCATGGCTCACAACCATCTGTAATGAGGTCTGGTGCCCTCTTCTGGCCTGCAGGCATACACACAGACAGAATGTTGTATACATGATAAATAAATAAATATTTAAAAAAATACTTTAAGGGCCAGTGAGATAGCTGAGTGGTTGAAGGAACTTGTTGCAATCCTGACAACTTGAATTCGTTCCCCGGAGCTCACACAGTGGGAGGAGAAGACTGATTCCTGAAAGTTGTCACCATGCCCTCATATGACAGTGGCACATGGGCACCCCCCCCCCACACACCTAAATAAATAAACAGAATGAAGACCTTTACACGCTATCTATTATGATCGCATGTGCATGTGCCACAGCATGAACGTGGAGGGCAGAGAACAATTTTCAGGAGCTGGTTCTCACCTTCCACCTTGGTGTGTGTTCTGGGGATTTAACACGGAGCATCAGGCTTTTACTGGCTGAGCCATCTCAGCTGCCCAGTTATTCACGGTTGGGTAGCATAAAACACACTTCTTGTAAGAGACAGACTGGAGTGCATAAGTGTGACATGATCCAATGTCTGTAATTTACTTCCTTACTTCAGAAGAATGAGCTGATCATGGCAGTATGTTCTTTATCATCTTATTTCCTCTGAAAATGTTCATATTTGAGACTAAGGTAAAAGCCCTTCACAATATTCAACTTCATTCTGTGAATATAACTTTGAATTATCTCTTTTTGAGTATGTTGTGTCTGTGTTATCACATGTATAGGGATGGATGTGTGTATGTGCACCCACATGTGTGCTATGTGTGTGTTATGTGTGCTCATATGGGTGCGTGTCTGTGTGTGTGTTCTCATATATGTGGCATGTGTATGTGCTCATGTGTGTGAGTGTTCTCATATGTGTGTGCATGTGTGTTCTCACATGTGTGAGCATGTGTATGTGTGCTCATGTGTGTGAGTGGGTATTCTCACATGTGTGTGTGTGTGTGTGTATGATCATGCATGTGTAGAGGCCAGTGGTCTTCCTCTATTGCCTTCTACTTTCTTTATTCAGGCAAGATCTCTCACTGAACCTGATACTCAAGAACTCAGCTAGCTAGCTAGCCAGCTTTCAGTCCCAGAAGTCCCCTGCTGCCACCTCCTGTGACCGGGGTTTGCAGGCAGGTTTCCAACCATCCCCACTTTTATGAGTGCCAAGGAGCTTGAATTCTGGCCTTTATATTTATTCATGAAGCACTTTATCCACTGAATCATTTCCCCAGCCCCAACTCTGAAATACCGGTGGCCATAGTCTAACTAAAGAGATGTTCTTGCTGTTCCTCTGACCTTTCTAGAACAGGCCATCGGGGCCTGGCTGGGGGCATAAGATCTCACGGTCAGTTTTAGGGTGAACTAATACAAAACACAAAAGGATCTGCTGCTTTCTACAACCATAATCATCTTATTGCAGGTAATCTTACCAATCCTCCTTCAAAGGCAAAAAGGACCAAAGAGTCCCCTCACATGGGGCACAGGGGTGCATCCCCAAGTCTCAGCATTAGGAGGCAGATGCAGAGGAACTGCCAAGAGTTTGAAGTCAGTGTGGGCTACATAGACGTTTCTGGGCTACAGGGTGAGATTCTATCTCAAAACAACATCACTGCCCAGAAAAATATTCCCTTTCACAGTTGGGGAAACTGAGGCTCGGCAAGGCTAAATAACTAACCAAAAGTTCAAAGCAAGCAGAGACTTCTAATCCCACTCCATCTTGGGCACTATAGCAGATGACCTGAAGATTCTGGCTCCATCCTGGTCAGGCCCTTCCTTGCCCACTCTAACTAGACCCTTTTGCCCTGGTTGGAGTACCAGATTCATTGACCACAGGCAGTGCAGACACACGCCGGTCCACAAAGATGTCCAGTGCGGTCAGGATCGGAGCTGTTTCCAGAACTACAGCCAAATCTCGGAATGTGCCGATGCCCAGATCTTGGATAGTGCGGCAGAGGAAGGAGGGCCGTGGCAACAGGGCGCCCTGTTGGGATGAGACCCGGTGGTGATCTCAGCAGATCAAGCAGCTCCCAGGGGCTCCAGCTCCTCCCTCCCTTTGCCTGGGCTAGGGCACTTGACCTTCAGTGTCTCGCGTGGCTCCCCGCTTGCTCCCACCACCCCAGGCTCACAAATATGTGCAGGAATTTGAGTATCCGCTTGTGCGTGAGGATGTACAGCACAGTGCCGGAGACTGGGTCCAGGACGGGCAGGCGGTGGATTCGGTTCTTGATGAGGGTATAGACAGCTTCAAACAGACTTTAAAGAACGGCAGCAATGAGACTAGGAGCAACGTGGGAAAGACTCTCCATCCGAGGCCCCCAAACAGGGTACCAGAGTCCCTTCATCCCTCTGCTTCCCAGAAGAAGTATGAACGAATACAGAACTGAGTGGGATAGCCCACGGGCAGGATTTAGGAGGCTGAGGCAACCCCTAAAGCCCTTGTTGCTGGGCCTGATGACCTGAGCTCAGTCCCTGCATCCCAGACAGTGGAAGAAGAGAACCAACTGCTATAAAATGCCTCCTCACCTCCACATGCGAACCATGATCACACACACACACACACACACACACACACACACACACACACACTCAAGCAGGCAATAAATGTCACAACAAGAAGCTTTGAGACAGACAGAGAAGGGGTGGTGCTCAGGTGAACAGACGAGATGTTTACCTGTCGTTGGGAGAGATGGAGACTAGAGGCTTGAAGCAGCCTTGTAGGTAGATCTCTAAAGAAAAACCCAAGTCAGGCCACAGGAGTTCCCAGTTACCTCACCCTGTCTCCTAACAGCTTTGTTGACCTGTGCCCTGCAGGAAATCCCACTTCTGTCCCCGGCCTTGATCCTAACTTTAGCCCCACCATCTTCTCCATCTTACCCCTCCAGGTCTCAATCTTATGTTCTTCAATCTCGTAGATCTGGACCTAAAGGCATGGGTGGGACTTTAGGGTCAGGCATGAGCCCTGGAGCATCAGGCCTCCTAAAGATACCCCAGCTCAACCCACCTGACACCCCAGAACTCACCAGGGGGGATCGGTAGTAGCGGTGCAACACCAGGATGAAGTCTGTGATGGTGAGCATGCCTGCAGGGTTAACGGGTGACCAGTTGGGCAAGGTCAGGCCCAGGTGCAAGGCTCATTGAGGACACCACCCTGCTGGTGTTCTTCCACCAGGGGAGGTCCCGCCCGCCATTCCCCAACCACCTCTCCTCACCTACAAAGCTCTGCTTCTTGCTGTCCCACAGAGGGGCTGCCCTCACACCGTTGGCCACCATGGCAAAGAAAGCCTTTTTAATCTGAGGGGCAGGAAGGAACAAAAGGCGGGGTGAGGACTGACAGTCCCTCATCCTCCCCGCCTGCTGTCCCTACCTGGGTCCTCCCGTGGGGTCTTCATTCTGGTTCGTCTCCACATGAGTCTGCCTCTTTCTCATGACCAGACCACTGCCATCATGTTCACCACACAGATAAGGCTGATTGTGCCCAGAGGCACCGAGGGACCCTCACTAGACACAGCAGGGTTTCCGCATGGAGTCGTATGCATACAGACATGGTATCGTTTTTGCTCATCCAAGCACTAGGTATTCACATAACATATACAGAGCTACAACAATTTCCTCACTAAACTGGATGTTATCTTATTTTGACCCTGTTCTAAGCAAAACTACCTCTATGCGCCGAGCATACTTAGGCTCATCCGGTTTCTTCCGCCCAGTTTCTTCCATTTCCTTAACTCTTTCCCCTCTTCTCTCCTGTCCTTTTGTTCTATGTTTCTGTTATGCTGTTGTTTGGTTTTCAGGCTGGCCGGGAACCTGAGACCCTCCTGTCTCAGTACCCTCAGTGCTGGGCTTACAAATGTGGCCCACTGCATCTAACTCTTTAGCACACATCAGGATTAAGCAAAGCTATTAAAATAAAATATATTCCTCTGTGAAGCACTGGAACCAGACTGGGTTCTGCAGACAACACATACACCCCACCTCGAGCGTGTACGCATCATTTGCTCTGCAGTAACAGTGATAACAATGGAGTCAGTTTAGCCAGTGGCTACCAGAACAGTAGCTGTTCTTTCCTGTTGCCAGAGTACCCTCTGCTTGGTTCCGAGTGACACTGTGATGTCTAACACATACTTCACAGTTAACAAAGTGTTCTTTCTTTGTCCCAGGTTGTCCTAAGACTCCTTTGAAACAGGGAGGAGCAAGCTTCTGGTCCCCAATTTTAGAGATGACGGAGGTAAAGCGACCAACCCCAGGTTTGGCATATTCAAGGTGACGGAGTGTGATGGCAGTCCTCCCAGGGGAGTCCTCCCAGAGCATGCTCTCTCCCTACCCTTTCTATGACTCTAAGGAGTTCTGGAAAGGGACTTGAAGGGACTATGGCTTGATCCATCCAGGAGGTTATGAATGGCAGCCACAGAGGCCGCAGGCTGAGCCCCAAGTTTACCTAGGGCCAAGTCAGGGTCTTACCTCCAGCGTGGTGTCAAAGATGACCAGCTTGGAGCTGGTGGCCATGGCATCATAGCAGGTGTGTTCCTGCATGAAGTGCATGTAGACTTGGGCCCCGGGCTTCTGGAGCTCGTCATCCCAACTCAAGCTGAGAAGCGGGGCCTGTGGGGACGGGCAGGACCGAGGCCTGTCCTCCTCCGGACCTTCCAGCTCGCAGTCCCAGGCCTCTGGGTCAGTCGTGTTGGAACCCACTGCCGAGGCTGCACAGTCGGGCAAGAGGAGGTCCCACCCTGCAGGGGAGGTCTCCACTTCAGCCAAGGGAACAGCTTGAGCCAAGGGCGTGGCCTTGGGGAATGTGGCTTCCTGCCTGGTGGACTCAGCAGCTGGTCCCGACCACGCACCTGTTGGGGAAGAAGGCAGGGCCGATAGCAACTGCATCTTCCAAAGCACGCTCCCGGTACCTTCAGCGATCAGCAGCCCGGGGGCACCCGGATGTTGTGGAGCCTCGGCGACCTAGCAGACAGCAGCTCTCTCCCGTCTTTCCAAGGCGGCTGCACTGGGGCCCTGCCTTGGCGGCAGTTATTGCCTCTTGTATAGGGAGACCGACCGAGGCCACAAGGTGAGATCTGTCTAGCTCCATGTGATGGAGAGATCTCAGGTCAGGTCCCACTCTGGAATTCCTGCTGTCCCCGTCCCCGTAGCTGACCTTGGCCTCACCTTCTCCCAAACCTGGTGGCTCTGCTTCCTCCACAGCCTCCTGCCTGGTCCACCTGGAGGCCTTGACACCCCGCGGTGCACGGGTTCTTTCTGGGCTGGTGGCCACGGCTGGTGATAACCATGAGTTTTCTCCTCGTTCTAAGAAGTTCATCTCTGGGAGGATGAAAGGACCTGTTTGATTAGTAGGAGGTGCTACAACAAAACAAGTCATGAGCTTTCAAATACCCCTCCCCGGACATATTTTTCCTTTTCTAGTCATAGAAATCTTCCGAGGCAGATACTGTAAATAGGAATAGTATTCCTATTTAGCAGTAAGGGATCAGAAACTCAGAGAGGTTAAGCAATTTGCCAAAAATCAACACAGCTGGGAAGTGATAAGGTTAGCATTGGGGTTCAGATCTTCATCATAGAGGAAAGGGAAGATGGGGGGCACACACTGGGGAAAGGAGGAGGGAGAAGGCAGAGAAGGGAAGGATCCTCTCTTGACAAAAACCAAGCTAGGAGTTAGGGGTTGGGGTTCAGAAATGTGGGAGACAAGGGAGCTATTGAGAAGAGACTGGTCCCACAGGCAGCAATGCTCCACCCACCTTGACTCTCTGGACCCCCACTGTGGCTCCAGGTCAGGGTCTATGGAATAAAGTGCCTGAGTTGTTGTGAAAAAGCTTCCTGTTCTAAAGTCCCTGGGTTTTCCCCTTTAAGAAGCACCCCCACCCTCACACCACGTGTATACAGATATGTACAACATACACACTTGCACACTCCTGACACCCACAGAATTCCACACAGGCACGTACACGCAAAATACATACATACACAGATCCGGCCCGCTCACACCCACAGAGTACAGTGCACACACACGACAAGCGCGCGGGTCAAACACACGCAGACACGACCACATGCTTGTTGTCTTTCTACATCCCAGCGCCGGCCCCCTGGGACCCCGGTACCCCAGGCAGTGTGTGTTTCAGCTCAGGCTCCATGCGGCCAGCTCTAGTCCGCTAGCGAGTGCGCGACAGGCGGCGGCCGGGTGGCACTATTCTGGGCTGGCCCCTGGCAGCGGGCCCTCAGGGATCGGGTTCTCTCTGATTGTCAGGTCTTGGGAGGGAGCGCTCAACCGCAGTTGTTTCCTCACCGCGGCTTGGGGGCGCTGCGGAGGCGGAACTCTTATCTTCGAACTGAGAGTTCAAAGGAGGAAAGTTATGACCGTCTTCACTTTCTCCCCCATGCAAACTTCCTTAGCCGAGGGTGGGATGAGTTAAGAAGGATTTCCTCGAGGCTGGAAGTAGGTGAGGGGGCTGTGGGTGGTCCTGATAGAGCAGCCAGGGTATATCTAGATATTCCCCTTGGAGTCCCGCCAGCCGGATCCTTTCTGGGGTGAAAGATGAAAGTGATGGAGAGGGCTGGTCAGGCACGTCGGCACTCTTCTGGTCATCTCAAAGGTGCGGAATGGGATTGAGAGCAAGGGCTCTCATATCTGTGTGCAGAGGGAACAACACCTGAGTCGACCTGTGGTTGGGAGATAAGAGAGTGTGCTGGAGACCAGCTCCTAACCCACCTTGAGTACTGGCTGAGCATTAGCCCTGCGCCAGTGGGGAACCCAGCCTCTCTCCGGTGGCGGTGGCGTGGCGGTGGCGGCTCACCCTCTTCCTGGGCATTCCTAGGGCCTGAGTCAGAGTTCCAAATGGGGACCGCTGACCCAGCTGCTCTGACTTCCCTTTCCCTGTCCCTCCCCTCCCCTTGTCATTCCAGTCTCTTCCATCCGGACCCCCTGGTCCTAGAATGGACACTCAGGAATAGACTATTGGATTTCCTGCTGGATTTAGTGAACGGGTTTCCTTTCCTCCTTCAAAGCACCTGCAGCTGCCTGGAGGGGGGGGGCAGAACTGTGCAGAGAGGAGTCTTTGATGGTGCGTGAGGGTTTCTGGAGCCTGGGTCTGTTGCTAGATAGTGGAACTTCTGAGGCACAGCAAACGGGGCCAGCTCAAAGAACAGAAGGCCATCAGCACGTGCCTAGGCATTGCAGACGGCAGACACTCCCTGCCATGTGTTGGAAATGTGACAATGGTCCACAGCTTGCCAGTGTGCGGTATTTCCCTTGCTAGCTGCTAGTCAGTCTCTAAACTGGCATTTGCTTTAGGTTTTTAAGGAGCATCACTTCCAAACACAAAATTCGGATAGATAGTTGGTTGTCATAACAAAGACCTGATTGAAGAATGCCTCAGAAGAGCAGAGAAGACAGAGGCAGGTGGATCTCTGTGAGTTCCAGGACAGCCAGGGCTACCTAGTGAGACCCTGCCTCCAAAGCAAACAAACAAACAAACAATGAATGCCTCAGGAGATTGAGAGGGGGCTCAATGAGTAAGAACTTTGCCTTGCAAGCATGAGGACCTTAGTTCAAATCTCCTGAACTCACATAGTTAGATGTGGTTACTTTCTGTGAAGCTGTGGAAATAGAAGGATCACTGGGGCTTTCTAGTCTCCAGACTAGTTTCAGGTTTAGTAAGAGACCCTGTCCCGGGAAGGATTAAGGCAGTGACTGATAAAACAGGACACCCAACATCTTCCTCTGGCTTCTGAAAATATATGCGTACACTACCCCTCTCTCTCTCACTCTCTCACTCTCTCTGTCTCTCTCTCTCTCTCTCACACACACACACACACAGACACACATACACAAGAGTGAGAGAGAAAGAGAGAGAGAGAGAGTACTTCAAACAATAATAGTCTCTAGGCAGTCTAGATCTGATAGGGTGGCTTTGAATTCCTTTAGAGCATCTTCTATCTTGAATACAAGATGGCCATCCCAGCTTCTACCTTACCCTTGCACTAGCATTCCAGTCAGAAGAAGGGAAAGGGGGAAAAGAAAAGAATTCACGCATCTTCTAAGCCCTAAAGTGGAAGTTACTCCCTCGCTTCCACATATGGCTAAATGACCAAATTTAGCCATAAGGTCATGTTTGGCTTCAAGGGGCAGGGAGTTGAGGATCTCAGTCATTATTATGGGCAGCCATTCCAGTAAAAATTCAACTCTACCTCGAAAAGACAAGAAAACTAGACAGTAGGTCCATCTGGCAGTCTATTACGGAATGTTTTCGTTCCATCATCCAGGCACGAAAACGAACTCTAAGGAAACAGGCAATGCTTTCCAAGGTCATTTGGCAAGCAAACAGCCAGCATAGACCTTAATTGGGTCTGGCTGATCCCCAGAGGGACTTTTCATCACATCCAGCCAACATATTTTGGCCACCCAGGGGCCAGCAATCAAACGAGCTGAAAGATGTTTGCACAAGGAAGGGCAGCTCTGCACCAAGGAGGAAGCGAACGACACCTGCCACGGTACACAATGCTCCAGATCGCTGTGCATCATGCAGTTAGGGAAGACTTTCCAGAGGAGAAGGTCCTGTGTGGAACACGGAGACTGGAGCCTCATAGGAGAAAGCAGTGGTGTGATTTGAACCTGCTCTGAGTCTGTGCAGGGGACAAGAGGCTATGTTGGGGGAGTTGGGGGTGGCTTTTTCAGCTCCACTGTATCACTTGCCATTGGGGATGGTCCACAGAGCGGATGTCTCACGCAGTCAGTGTAAACACAACAGCATAAACTGCTGCTGTTACTATCAAAGCCCTATGGGAGAGACACTCGGGTTATCAGTGGAGGGGGTTGGAAAGGCAACAAGGGTGGGGCTGGGACTCCAGTCCTTGCCCAAGTGGTTCCAAGACAGTGGAAATGGTCAGAGGGCACACACGGAATAGGAGATTTCTGAACTAGAATTGGAGTTCAATGATCTCAAATGTGTGAGAACCTGAATTCCATGCTTACAGCATACAAAGAAAGGAAAAGGAAAGAAAATGAAGAGGAATGAGAAGAGATATGGGAATGAATAGAAGAGAAGAAGATGACTGGGAATGAACCTCAGAGTGCTTGCCCAGCCTGCCTGAAGCCATGGTTTGATCCCCAGGTCCTCATACCATCAGCTTCGTGGTGCATATAATCTCAGCACTCAGGAAGTGGAGGCAGCGGGTCAGAAATGTAAGGGCATCCTTAGCTACATAGGGAGTTCAAGACAGCCTGGGATATATGAGACCCTGTCAAACACACACACACACACACACACACACACACACACACCCCAAACAAACAAACAAACCAGCCCGGTGGTGGTGGTGCCTGCCTTCAATCCCAGCACTTGGAAGGCAGAGATAGGAAGCTCTGAGTTCAAGGTCAGCCAGGTCTACAAAGAGAGTTCCGAAACAGTGAGTTGCACAGAGAAATCCTGTCAAAAGAAAGGAAAAAGAAAAAAAAAAGAAAAAGAAACCAACAACAAATGTGCCAAGGAAAGGTGAATTCCTTTTAGAGTCGAACAAGTTTTCTCAGAGAGCCATACCAGTTTGAGAGAGAGTAGACTAGAACTCCAAGTCGAGAGAATCCTGGCATGTGAACAATGCTTACATGGTACCCTTGGCTGTGGTTTCTCAAATTTGGAGCCAAATAAGCCTTCCAGGAGTTTTGAGGGTGTCAATTTGGCAAAGAATCCACAGACCTGACCGTCAAGGCCTCACTTGACCCTTCTCTCCAGTTAGCATCTACCCTGCATGTCTCCAGTAGCTGGAAGACAGCCGGGGAAACTGGGATTCTGTGAGAAAGGTATGCCACCCACACACAGCTGCAGTGGATACTGGGTAAGGGTTGCTTCTCATGGGCAAAGCTGCCCTGTATGGGAAGCTGAGGTCCAGAGAAGAGACAGCAGTCAGTGATCAGGCGTGTTGCCTGGACTTAGAGGTTGTTAATATCCAGCGGCCTCTGTATATTGGTCATCCTTTCCTATTCTAGGATGCTTTAATTACATTTATCCTGTTTCTCTTCTGCTGTCATTAATGGGCAATATGAAGGACAGGTTATGCTGTGGGATATAAGAACAGGGTCACCTGGTAATGGGATGGATACTCACGCCTCAGAGAACTGGTGTCCAGTTGGAACCAACTCACTGCTCTCAGACGATATGAATATTTTCTTCCTGTGGGGTAGGCAAACCCATGGATGCTTCTCTCTTTTTCCCTCTGTCAGTAAGATCCCACAATTACATTTTCCAGCTTCCTTCTCAGATTTTGTGGCCATGTGACTAAATCTGGCCAATGAGATTTCAGCAACTTTAT